GGTACAGGCTAAATTAAGGAAGATCTGGACTAATACATTCTAAATAGGTTTTAAACGCACAGACGATCCTTTATATGGGTTTAGACGGTGGAAAACGAGTGACTTCTATTGATGTCAGAAATGGCATCGAAAGGCTTCCAATAGAGCCGGTGGAGCCAATTTAATTATTAATGGTGCTCGCTGTTAAGAAGAAATAATAATATTAAATAAATAAGGAATGATTACTGGTGTAGTCAGCCTTCATCTTCACAATTTTCTTCATATTCGTTCTATTTTTTAATTTCTTATAATAATTAACAATTATTTTGCACGTTGTTCTATCATATTGATATTTGATATTATAACATAGTAATAAAACTTATAACTGGCTGTACGTTCCAAGTCTAATTCTTGAAACCGTCGACGAGTACGTAAATCACTTTCAAAAATTTTTTCTTTCCGAATTAACAAAACCTTTCGCGAAATAAAAGCTGTATCCTTGAAATAGTAATTTCTATACAATTTTCTCTTGTATAAAAAAGACCTAATTTTAAATGTAATTCTGCATGATATAGTAAGCCTAATCCACATATGGGCAATATATAAACTCTTAGAATCAGTTCAGAGTATGCTTCAAACAACGAACGGATGCTTCAAACGACCAGCAACTCTCCTTGATCCGGAACTCATCGCGAGATTCTTCTTCTTTAGTTTGACCCTATTCGTCTCTTGATCCAATTATTATATTATTGTATTATATTGTTGCTGTAATTCTATGGTGAATAAACCTTTCCCTTCCGACTCATCACAACAACAACAATATGACAATTTTCACGAAAACTAGAGTATGTTAAGTTCTCTTCATCCGACAGCTTAAATCCAATGCATTAATTAAAAGCGAATTGTTTAAATAAATATAAGATCCAAAACCGTAATTAACAAAATCTTTTTTCAAAATATTTACTTTTAAAGATTGATGAATGTGAATGAGAAAAAATTTTACACCTTTCTTCAAATCAATCTGTTTAGCTTCATCATCTGTTTCGCTAATCGATTGGTGAAAATCATAAAAATTCCCTCTGTAATTTGTTTTAATCTTATTTTTGCCATCATATTCGCTCTTGAAATTATGTAAAATGAATCGGAATAATGCCCAATTAATTATTACTCCTTGGTTCATGTAGCCGATAGCCGATTCGTTCTTTTATGTAATTTAGATTAATGGGATTCGTATATTTTTACACCATTAATTTTAGCGATAATCATAAATCTTATTCGTGAAACAATTAATGAAGTCTAAGAATCCATAAAAATGAATGATGATCCTTTTTTATATGGTGGCCGAACAATGTTATACAAAAGATATTCTCATTTTAAGTGCGTCTAACAACTTCATAATTTTGCTGATCTTTTTATTACTACATTTGAATGTCATGAATCTCGCTGTATGTATTCATGGTATAATATTATTAATAATGGTACAATATAATATCAGGATTCTTATGTGGAATGTGTCAAAAAGTTATGAATATGATAATAGGCCATCAATAGCAGTCCCCCTAAAAATCTTAATACTTACAACTAAAATAGTCCACCTGTTTATAGGTTTATAGGCTAAGAAATAAAGTGCAAGACATGGTATAAGAAATAGCCCTAATATCCAAGTTGCTTTCGTGGGATAACTAGTCTGGCTTATGATCCAGACGAATTAGTAATTTTTTATCTTAGACCAAGTTATTCATGAATTTCACGAATCATTTTTTCTCAAATAGCAAACGTTTTAGCAATAATTTTAGTTTCATGAAGCAAATTCAAATCTAAAAAGCTTATTGAAACCACATATGCGTGATTTAAACATTATTTCATGACTCGTCATCTTTTACTTTAGGATAGCTAGTTTATCGCTATTGTAATAGTCGGTTCTTGTAAACTGCAGTGAAGATGTTAACATTAAACGATTAAGCCAGCCAGCATAGAAAATCACTGCAATTAAAGAAGGTATGAGATAAATAATTGCAATCGAAATTAAATGGTCAATTATTTTCAAAGTTCTGAATTTTCTCTGATATCAGCAATAAAATATGAAAATATATAAATATATTTTAAGAATTCATCGAGGTGAAATCCTTGGTAGAATTAATTTTTGCCCTAATAGCATTCTATATTTCTGGTTTGGCAGATTCTATTGATTACTAAGATGAATATATGATTTTCACTTCGATACAGAAGTATATAGATCCCAACTTCATCCAAAATAATTTTTTTTTGACTATTCGTGACAGTAGATCAAAATATCAGGATTTGGTGCACTAAACTTTAGTCAGAAGAAATTTATCGTGTAAGATTTGAAAATGTTTACCGAACATCTCTCCACATTTTAAACGAGCATTAAAATATTGTTTTATGACATCTCAAAACATTTTTTTTTGTAGCTAGGTGTTTAGCCAAATGTTGTTTAGCAGTTCTTTTAGTAATAATTCAATAACTGGCAGTAAAACGAAGCCATTTTGTGTGCTTCACTTATTTTCAATGATGTCTGACAAATATCGCCCTACCAGGTTATTTAATTATACGTTCTATAAAGATATTCGTAAGATCATGGAGAAGAAGATAGTAAGTTAGTGTAGAGTGATTAAGATTATCCCACTGTGAGACAAGAGTTCTTCTTGTCTCAAACAGAAGTAATATTGTTAAAAAATTCGAATGATTTAAGCGATCCACTTGTATTTCTATCGCCAAGTACTGACCGCTTATTTGTTTAAGCTTATTACAATTAATTGAATGAAGGTAATGACAAGATAAGGTTCACATAGGTCATGTTAAATTCTTTGCATTCTAGTAAATCTAACAACTAAGCATTTCAACTACTGAAAGGGTAATTGGTTGCCCAAACCAAAATATAATCTCTTACTCCTGCTTTTATAAAAATTTTGCTGAAACAAAGCTAACCATAAATAATAATTATCAAATTAATAATAATAATAAAATAAATATTAATAATTATCAACTCACAAGTATGAAAAGCTCAATTTATAGTAGTAGTGCCGTTACTATAATTTTCGATAGTTATATCGAAAGGATCCAAAAACTTAAAATGGTAAAATTTTGCATGAAATCTCATCTCAAATCAAAAAATTAATTATTTGTCATAATGAATAAAATTCTAAAGTTAGTTTTATTTGAAAGAACAGCTAGTTTTAAACTCGAAGATTTTAAAAAGAATTTTTTGAAATTTTATTGCATAGGAAGATATTTTTCGAAAAAAAACTAGCCAAATAATAAAAAATACTGATTGTGACGTAAATCAAAAACTTTTGTCATAGTTCCAGTTCAAGAACTCAAACTAAGCCGTGAACGAGTCTTGTGATTTCAGAACCAATCGCGAGATTGGCTACGTAATTTTCTAGATCTAATGTGTTTCATTCGGGTGGCTTCTCTCCCTATGGTTTTACATACATGATCAATGCAAACGTGCAACTTATAAAAAAGCAAGTGGTTAGCACTTACCACTTCTCGCTCCACTAGTTGTTATTGTTATTGTTATTAAGATTATAATTTGCGGCGAAAACAGATAAAATATATGTGAGATATATGTAAATCGCCATCTTCAACCGATTGACAAGCTCACTACTGTGAAGTTCAGGGGTAAAAAGGGCAAACCTATTCAGAAATGCGGGTGATGCTGGCGATACACTTGCACTTTTATTGCCAGGGAACTCCCTGGCATATTTGTCCAGTGCGACATGCCAGCGAAGCGAGTCTAACCAGTTGTGAGGGGTCTAAAAAAAATAAATTTACATCAGAATATTGAAAATAATGAATTCTTCGAAAATCTTCATTATATTCCATCGTTTTTCAGCAACAAAATGGTAAATTTTGGTTTAAATTGGTATAGAAGATGAAAAAAGAAAACACTTTTTCAATCAGATTCAGTTTATTGCTTTAAAGTTGCAATCGTCAAAAAAATTGCGATCTTTTTTTTTTAATATTAAAATCCTTTATTCCGATATACAATTTTTTTAGAAAATTTCCTGATATTTTTCGAGTTTATTCATCAAATTTTTATAACATTGCCAGTATTATAGTGAAAGTATTTGACAAAATATTTTTTTTTCTATATAAATCGTGGGATTCTTGGATTATTAATTTATCACCTAGATCCTTACTTTCCTTGTACCTGTACCAGTCATAGGAATGCTCATTGTTTTCATGCCAATGTTTTTAGATCAAACTATTGTTATCCAGGGTTCTTGAGTGCATTCTTGATCAGTTCCTTCTGAACCACTAGTAATTAACCAGAAATAAAAATAGGCATTTGCCATTTGTGAGATGGGTAGAATGTCTCATTAAATTGTTGCTCTCATTTTGGAGCGCTGATGCTGCAGATCTGGGCTCGGCAAGGAGTAAATCTGCTTTGCCTCGGATGTTACTTGTGATTTTGTCTACATTTCTATCGCCAAGTGACTCCCTGGCAAAAATTGCCTGATCAGAGAAGCCAGTGAAGAGAGTGTAGTTAGAAACCGTAAGTAATCTTTGAATTCATAGCTAATTTATCTCGTAATGTCAAATTTTGGTCAAATAACATAATGCAACTCTTTCTAAAGAAATATTGAAAATTAATATTAATAAAATTAATAAAATATTTAAATTTATTCTTAATACGAGGCCCTTTTCTGACTTGGCTCATTTTATTCACTACTATGGAAAGAACCTTTTACCAGTAATTATTTGCGTTTAAATGTGAAAATAATATAAATCATGAGCATCGATCGCATTTCATTTTCATTGACAAGTTCATTCTGCGTGTTAAGAGGAAGAGGAACATATTCAATTAACTCAGTCGAAGCAACATAATATCACTCGATAATCATCGTCAGCACAAATTCTTTGTTAATTAATTAACAATAGAGAAAAAGACAGTAGAAAAGCTAAAAATTGCAGTTCATTATATAGGTGCCTTAAGAAATTTATTTGAAAATTTAAGAATCGTTCTACAATTATAAGGAATTATATTTTTCAGCATGTTCCTGGATTATTTGGCCAGGAAATATAAGGAATATAAACTGCGACATTTATTAATGCTACTCGTGTTGTTTTTGTATAGTTTAATTGGTGCGATTTGTTTTGTCGCACTTGAAAAACATAATGAAAAAGAAAAGCGATTTCGGACAAAAGTTGAATTTATCGAGCGAAGTGTAGCAGCTAAACGAATATTAGTCAATCACATAAAGGTTTGTTGTTGATCCATTTTATTCTAATCTATTTAAACTACAGTTACTTATTTGCTTCCTTATTTTATCACTTTATGATTTAAATGATTTAAGAATAGATAGCTTTAAAAAAATTCATTTTAAAAAACATGCGTATGAAAAATTGAATGAAGAAAATTGGTTTCGATGAAGAAAATTGTATTTCTGCAAGATTCAAATAACTAGTTTGCAGAATTATTGTTCACAGAAAACGACACTATCATCACTAACTGTATGGAAACAACTCCGAACAGCCATAGCAGACTATGATAAAACAATGGGAATTAACCTCGAAAATGAAGCACCACTGAAATGGACTCTTTGGGGTGGATTATATTATGTGAGTACCGTCTATACAACAATTGGTATACTGTCTTTCTTTTTGTTTATATTCTTTTGGTTCTTCATCAGTTAGGTTGAATCAAGCCAATAATATTATAAGCAAATTTTCGCCTAAAAGCTTGCATCACTTTTTTTATCTAACGGCACTCATCATTTCTGGTTGGCTTCAATTGCTTGGGATGAGATCCGTTGTCAGGGTGATGGAAGTGAATTTCATGTTTAATGGCTGTTTGCTTTTTTTCTTTAAGGATCAAGTTTCAAAATTATGATGGCATAATCTTAATCAACTGAAATTTGAAAAATTTATTGTAAGATAATCAAATTAATTATCGCTCTGAAAAATTATGTACCTTGATTGTCGAGTCTTTTAAACAATTTTTTAAGTATTTGTTTTTTATTCTTCATTCCACAACTAACGACTACTAAGTAGCCTAAAAATAAATAGTGATTTTAATTACTTCATTCTATTTCTCTAATGAAATAAACATAAAAGGATGCAACTGCAAATTTGTATTTGCATGTTCAAATTATCAAAAATTTTTAAAATATTTAAATTTGAATTGGGTCTATTTTTTTTGCTTGAGAGTCTTTGATTTGCGTTTTTGAAATCGATAACTTTTACTACTTTGTTGGTATTATTCTAGTGGATGGGCTACTTCAACAAAATTTTATATTAATTGTTAAATGAGATGTACTTCAATGTAGCTGTATTGGTCCTTTCCTCTTTTTTAATATGTAATGGTATTGCGGAGTCATTTTCAGGTTCACGCATTTATTTATATGCTGGTAACTGTAAAATCTGTTATGGGAGGATTTAAGCAATCTTCAAGATAATAGCCTTCAAATTAATGTCGGCTGATAGATATAAAGTTCCATATAAATGCTGAATCATCTGGCCGCTAATGACTGTTCTATACTATCTCGTATAAATAACTCAGATTTCGGATTAACAGCTGAAAATTATGGTATAGGACTATTGTCAAAAATCTTCCAGAATTATAAACCTTATTCATTGTTAAGAAATTCGTTCATGCACATCTAACACATTCACATCTAAATGCGGTAGATCGATTGAGAACTTACAGAAATAAACATTCTCACGCACCCTAAATCCCCATGCTTCATTAAATTGTAAATCTAGATGAAATTTATAATATCGAGTCAGATGTATTAAGCATCACTTTCAAGATTCTATTTTATTAATTTGAATTGTATTAATTATTATGGTTTAAGTCTTGTGTTGATGTTATTAGAGGTGATGGTTCGGAATTACAGAAACCTTTCTGCAAAACTACAGAAGGGCTTATGGACAGCTTCTCACATCCTCAATATTAACTATTGGAACAAATTACCAAATGATATTATTTTTATATTTATTTTACGATATTTTATTCATTATTACTATTTTGTTCTACGTTTTATCTCCTATTATTATTTTAATTTTCTGCCGTTAACATCTGCATATAGATTCTAGTACCTTTTAGGTTTTTTTATTTCTTGTCGCTCCCTTATCTTACATAACTTCTATTAATTTTGTTCCTTTTATTACAAGTAATTTTAGCCTTGCTCGATTTTACCTTAAATAAATAAACGTAATAAATAAATAAATAAATAAATATATAAATAAATAGTTAACTGAAACTGAAGATAATAACTGAAGAAAATAAACTGAAGATTTGTCAGATGATATGTAAATATTGTGAGCTCATCACTTCAAAGAAATGTTTTTATCATCATTCATTCATTATGTTTTTTATCATCGCCTTTATTTCTTCCAAATCACCTTCTGAATAATGATCACGTTATGGTACCTAAGATCTAGTCTTTCTTTAGAGTTAAGGCTCTCGGTAGCCACCATTTCAAGTATACAGTCAAAAAAATCTTAGTTTTTTTTTCTGATGTTGGCAAGTTTTAAAGTACGTCAATTAATATTCTAGTTACTTTCATTTTTCGCTTTAAAGCTTAAATTAAAACCTGAATTTCAGGTTACGGTGACATTGCACCTGAAACAACAGCTGGTCGAGTTATAACGATGTTTTATGCAATTGTTGGGATTCCATTGGTCATAACAGTGATTAGCGACTGGGGCGCTCTATTATTTGCACTCGTTCGTATGCTGTGGGCGAAAAATTCTTATCGAACGTTTCATTTTATAATGAATTTGGGAATATTTCGACAAAAGATATCAGGCTTTAATGTTAGTTTTTTTTCTGAATTTTCTTGTTCCGGTATTATTCCTCAAGTTTCTTTGAAAAAAAAAATTTTTGAACCTTTTCAAGCACACAATCAAACAATTAATGCTCAAATTTTGATAAAATTTAGAAAGTTTAAGGCCGAACAAAATTTATAGACCAAAATATTTCTCATCTTTTTTTTCAATAATCAAAAATAATAGAAAATCATTTCTATTGCTTCTTCAATTACAATTCAGGCTCCTGATTTGGATAGCTGCACTGCCTGTAAGGAATGAAGAAAGTAGAGCTGAAAATAGTCTGTAATTAGAGAACTTAGTCTGGAGCACCATTCAATTTCCACTTTTAATGATAGGTTTACGCCAAAATCGAAGTCATGTTGGATTGGCTTCGAAGTAATATGGTACTCAATCTGCCCGATTTTGATTACTATACCGAACTGTTTAATTGAGAAGCTACTAAATATCAGTGGAAAATGTGAAATATTAAGGGGTATTTCAACTTATTAACTATAGTCATTTTTGACCTGTTAAGATGATGACCACAGTATAATGAAACCTAAAGTAAATGCAAATATAATTGTCAATCCATGATAAATGAATAATTTATCAAGAATTTTTTCGAAAAATAAGAAGAAGAACAAATGCCTAGATTGTTTTGTTAAGCAGAATAACGAATCAAGATCTCATTCGAACAAGGATGAAGGAAGAGAAGGAGGAGAGATACCAATAAAATTGGCATTTTCAATACTCATTATATGGATTTTAATAAGTGGATCAATTTTCTACTTATTTGAAGATTGGTCTATGTTTGAATGCATTTATTTCTTTTTTATATCACTTACAACCATAGGTATACAATTTTTTAATTATACATTCTTTAGTAAGTAGCTAAACAAGAAGAATTGTAATATGAGGCCCTCATAAAACTTCCTCTTGAACTTCAATATGGCATTAAATAGATTAAAAAAAAGGTGAATGGCCAGCGTTTACTATTTCTTATTAGGTTAACTCCACTGGTTGTTGAAAAGGTAAGAAATTTTTGCCATGAAGTCACTTGATGATAGAGGTACAAATAGTTCACCAAATATAATATCTTCTTCTCAATCCCAATATCTTCTCTCGTTGCTCTCGTCAAGGGCAATAACGTTGAACTCTTGCCTTAAGGCATTAATGTGAGCTATTATACATTCGATTATCCTGTCCCTAACATTGTAAATCAAAAAATTTGCCAAAAAAACGTGGCTCTGAAAGCAATTATTTTCAATCTGATAATACTCGCTTTTTATTACATATTTTTGTTCGATTTTTTATATTCATCATTATAACTGCTTTATCACTATTGTATAGTTTTTATTCTTTATTTTATAATGTTATAAATTAAGTTATATAGCAATGAAAATGTGACTGGAATGATGTGGATTTGTATGAATTCCTTAAAATCATCATCAAATGCACATAGATGATCTCAGGATTCGGTGACATAACGTTGCATCCGAAAGCAGCTGTCTATTATTTTTTATTAATAATGATCGGCTTAGCTGTGGCTACAATGGCCTTTAATACGATTCAGATGCAAATTGAAAAAATATTTACAAAAATTGTAAATTCGATTAATAGTGACTTCAAAAATTCCTTATTAGGTTTGTTGAAAATTTTACAGCTTTTTCAGAATTTATTCGTTAATAATTTTCATTTGTGCCATTTTTAAAGAATAATTATTGGCTATCTTCATTTTTTGTAATGAATCAGTCTGCTAAGATTGTTATTTAAACCAATTTTTTTATTTTTAGGAATTCAATTCTTTCATCTTGCTTGAAGGTTTGTAGTTTTTAAGGACTAAAGGTGATTGTGCCTAAAACGAAGGATGCTGTTACGGAATACGCCAAATTATTATCTGGCACTGATCAGTTGCTCGTACGACTTATGAGTAATCACCAGTCAGCAATATTTCTCAATTTTTTATTTCTCTTTTTTCATCATCATCATTTTCTAACAAATCTCACTATTAGTGGCTAGAGTGGCTCAGCTGGCTACAAAAGGTAAGACATCTTCAAGTTGCTCGGTCCGACGCCATCGCTAGTAATAATAGAAGCTATTCCTTTTTCCATCGTCTAAATCCATATATCGCTGATCCCCCTATACGTTCAAAATCTTTCCTAACTGTATCAGTCCAGGTCTTGATTGGCTCTCTTTGTTTTTGACAACAACCATAGCGAAATATGCATCAACTCCTGTGGTGAACGTGTTCTAACCAGCGAAGGTGATGCTCCGTGATTATTAATACAGGTGGTATTTGAGCTAAGATGGATACAATCATGTGCGATTTTACGCTCGACGGATCCGTAAAATGTATCTTAGACATGAGTGGTCAAAGGCTGATAGTTTCTTAATGTCTTCCACTCTCATTGGCCATGTTTCGCAGCCAGCAAGATCGAGCGAATTGCAGCTATATGAACGCGGATTTTCGTCTTTATGGTGATTTCGCGATGGCGCCATAAAGATTTCATCAACCGGAAAAATACATTTCTAGCTGTCGTTATCCGGGCTATAATTTCATCCTTTGCCTGGTCATTTGGGATTAGAGTGGAGCAGATATTTAAAGTTCCAGAACTTTCTCAACCGGCAATGAATTGACAGAAATAGGTATTTTGGCAGCATCTTGTACATAAAGCGAAACACTTTCGTTTTATTTACATTGATTTTGAGTCCAATTTTCACTGCAGTTGTTAACATATTGTTTAATATTATTTGCATTTCATTATAACTGTCAGCAAAAATGACTATATCATTAGCGCATTCAAAGACGATTTGCTATGCTTTAGACTGATTTGCACACCTCTTAAGTGTCGACAAACGATGCCCATTATCCAGTCTATCGCATAGTTGAATATTATAGGAGAGAGGATCCTGGGTAATTGTCGCAGTACATCCTGTTACCTTTCTTACGAATTGGAAGCAGAATTGCTTTGCTCCATCTTCTGGTATTATTTCATTTTGCCATATTAGAGAATACATTTGTTGAAGCGAGTTATGAATGATGATGGATAATATTTGAAGAGTTCGGCACGAAGACCATTTTCTCCGGAAGTTTTATTGGCCTTAAGCTTATGGATTATTGAGATTATTTCCTCTTCTATTGGTGGTTTGCAATTGTAAACGTATGGCTCGACATGCGAATCAGTTATATTAGGCACAACAGATGGTGCATCGTGATTAAGTTTGGCCTCAAAAAAAAAATTAATCGCGGTTGGCGGGTTATAATCTCTGAAGTACAATAGTGAGTCGAAAAGACTGTATCTGATGTCTAGTGAAATTTTACCGAATACGGCTATGTCAAAAATATCATATTATTTTCAACTGAAGAACCAGGTCATTATTGCCTTATTGGACGTAAAAATGCTTTCAAAAATATTAATGTTTGATTAATTTCTGGTTCCGCTTGTTCTACTAGCTATTAAAATGAGATTTTATTATTAGAATCACTTAGAAAAAGAGAAGCAAGTGGGTCCACAGAACCAAATATTGAAACATCTATATAATGAATAACTTGCTATATTATGTGATGCGAAAGATGGTTCATCGTTATAGTACATCCTTCAAACTGCGCTATATAGCCTTACAGTTGCCTCAAAATCCGTTATGCTCTTCTTTTAGATTTCTTCGCGCAAGTAGAATACTAGAAGAGGATGTCTCACAGTCCATAGTTGCCAATTCTTAATAATCTCTAAAATCCTATTTTCATATTTAGCACTTCTTTTGGAGGTTTCTCAGCCTCTTTTTTCTTTTTCTTTCCATCTTCTTTCAGTCGTCCAGTAATTCTCTAATCGCCCTTACATACGTCAAACATAATTTCAATGGTGGCTCGGACGCCGCTATATTCCTCTAATAGCTCTGATACTCCTTTTTTCTCAATTATATTTCCTTAATAACTTATACTAACCGCCATATACTCTCTTAATATCTAACTGTACCAAGCTATGCCCCTTTAACCTAACGTTTTCTGTTAATAGGCTGTTGAACCAGCTTATTCCTTTACACCATATTCTCAAACTTGCGCAATTAAGCACCACTTGAAAAAGTCGGTAATTTATCAAAAGATCTATGGATTGAAGGAGCTCTGTAAACATCGCATTTTCGATTGGGCATAAGACTTAGGCTTTGGTTATATTTTGAATATCGGTAAGTCTTCTTTTTTTATTTTCTTCACGTCCTACCTGTTACAGTGGATATCTTTTAATTAATAATGATACTTAGGGGTACTTATGGCAAATATTTTAATTTCAGGAAACGAATCCTGAATGACAAGTATGAAGAGAGAGCTAGGATGCAGAACCAATATACACAGACTGATAAAAATCAGGTTTATGCTCAAGTTCAAACAGAAAAAGTGACGAAAATTGGCGATTTGCATGTCATTAGGATTCAAATGGAAGATGACCAAAATTCTTCACATCGAAAGTCATATATTTATAATGCCGGTGAATAATAAATTGATAAAATATTCTCCAGTTTCATGCATAAGAAATTTCTCGCAGTTTAATTTTTTACACACAGCGTTAAAAGGTTATTTTCATCTTTTAAAAGCTATTATTGTATCTTTTGCCAATAATTTTGGTAAATAATAATCAGGAAGTTTCATTGACATCTTCTGAACAAAAACTCGCTTACCGATTGCCTCAATAGTACAAGATGAATGAGCTACTAAGTTAAGTTCTTCATATGATCAAAACTATCTGAATTATTTCGAAGCTAATAATCAAAAATTAAAAATAAAAAAGCTAATGGGCATTAGGCCATCACTATCAGAAGGTTAAGAATTCTTCTTACAAAAGAATGAACTTTGAGGCAACAGCTGTCACTAGCAAAAATGGGCATAAGAGGCAGTCACCATTTTCTGACAGACTTTTCGTATTATTCCTTCAAATTTTTTCTCCATTTAAATTCATTTGGAATCATCTTTAGCTATAAAAAATTTTTAATACGAATAAATAATTTTATTCTTCACTAGTGAGTCGGTTGACATAAAATTGTATAAATAAACGCCAGCAGCAGTCGGCTTTCACTTTTTTATGACTCATTTACTCCCTGAAGTACCAAAATAGAACCAATGATGTTTCAACGAATTAAATGTGCCAAAAATGTTCTGAAAAGTGCCCAAAAGTACATTAAATATCCTAATTTTCTTCTGCACAGAAGCGCGTAAATAAATGATATAAAATCGCATCGCATATTTTTACCTATTAAAATAAAGCTATCACTTATTATTTGAAACTATTTACATATGGAAATGTAAGCTGCAACCATTTGCGAATTAAGCCGAATGTTAAGAAATTGTTGACTAAGCGTCGGCACTTAATTAAATCATACTTAGGTACATTTCGAATGAATGTTGGAATTTAAAAATCAAATTAATAACTGGTTTAGATTCCTTAATTTTAACATTTTTGTTTGATTTTTTTNCTCTTTTTTATAAACTCATTACCGATTGAGGCCCGATTTTGAATCCTTGGATCCACTTTAATACCAAATAGCCAGGCAAAAGACGATATAATCCGAACTACAGCAATTAGAAATGCCTTCTTCCGGTTGACGAAACTTTATGGAGCCGTCGCGAGATCACCATAAAAATGAAAGTCCGCGTCTATATGAATGTGATTCTCATTCGCATGATCTCGATATATGGCTGCGAGGCATGGTTAATGAGAGTGAAGAATGTTAAGAAGTTATCTGCCTTTGTCCACTCATATCTAAGACACATTTCACTGGTTCGCTGAGCGTATAAAATCTCACATGGTCCCATCCACCTTCGTTCAAATACCACTTGTATTAACAGTACCGGAATGTCGCCTTTGCTGGTTAGGGCACGTTCTTCGTCGCTTACCACAAGAGTTGACGCATATTTTGTTATATTTCGTTACTTGCTCAATCTTGTGATGGTTCGCGAAGCGAGGAAGGCCAACCAAGACCTGGACTGACACGGTCAAGAAAAATTTTGAACATATAGATGGACCAGCAATATATGGACTTAGACGACTGAAAAAGGAGTGGCTTCTATTATATGGCGTGGGAATGAGCAGCTTGGAAACGTTTTACCTTTGTAGCGAGTGAAGCCAGCCTAAGCAGTAATAGTGGGAGCCGTTAGAAGAAAAATGATTGTAAAACTAGTCATTGCATTTAATTCCATAAATGATTTTCGAAGAGAAAAAAAATTAGATCCACTGTTCGATGGAAAACTGCGATTTCAGGCAAATTGCATGCTGTGCTGCAAGCTACCTTCTGTTATTTGTATTGTTAAGGCACCTATCAAGACAGTCCACAATGGGCTATATTCAGATTCCTTCCACTGCAGAAAACTGTGCGATCAGCTTAAGAAGGTTTAGAATGTGACTGGTATACCTTGGGAATAAATAACTGCAAGAAGATTAAAGCCATTGGTGAAATGAGACACAATATTCAATATAATATTCAGTCATTGCAAATTGGTCTGTGATATTTTTGGGCTAACTTTGTGACTCGAGGATATATAAAATTATTTATGTAAGGCTGTTTTATGCCCAAAGAATGATGAAAAATAAATGAAGAGATGTTAATGAGCTTAAAAGGTGAACTTGTTTCGCTTCTGAGCACAAATTTTATGGATGATAAAGATGGTAAAGAGAAAAATAATTTTCGCATGATGCGAAGTAAAAATTATTATCACTTTAATTC